TTTATCTGGACGATATTCTGATTTTTTCGAAAACATTTGAAGATCATAAACGACACTTGACTGAAATATTGTCAATATTACAGAAAGCAAATTTTCAAGTTAATCCAGAAAAATGCTTTATTGCTGTCGAACAAATTGAGTTTTTAAGCCATACCATCAACCATGATTTCATCCGTCCATCTCAGGAAAAAATCCATGCCATCGTTGGATTGAATCCACCAAGAACTTTAAATGAAGCTAATGAATTTATTGGAAAACTGAATTGGTACCGTAGTTTATTCCACATTTTGCTGAGATTGCAGCTCCAATTCATAAAGTAACAAATAAAATAAAAAAGACTAAACATGACTTCCACTGGCATGATGAACAACAACAAGCCTTCGAAAAATTTAAACACATATTGACAACGTATCCACTGTTTCTACAATTTCCCAATTCAACTGCTCCTTTCATCTTAGCAACGGATGCTTCCGACGTCGGCATTAGTGGAATATTACGTCCAGAAACTCCAAAGGGAACAAAAATTAATTATTATAAATCTCGAACATTAAGTGATACTGAGAAACGATATGATACCATTGAAAAGGAGGCATTAGCCATATACTGGTGCATTACAGACTTACGGCAGTACATTGGTGACTCATATATCTCCGTCGAAACAGATCACAAACCACTTGCAAATTTTCACAAAAAGGACATAAACAACAAACGAGTAATGAACTGGCTATTTAAACTGCAAGATATTATTCCACAAATTACGGAAATCAAACATAAATTACGGGACAAAAACACCGGTCCAGATTATTTGTCAAAACATCCTACTTCCTCTCCATGCGTCGAAACTACATTAGAAAGCGACGAAGAACATTGGCCTCGCGGAACGGAAGCGTGGGAAATTAAACCACCTCGTGTCAGCTCATTTACTGCGCAAATAAATGCCGTTATCACTCGTCAAGAAGCAAAACGACGGCAGCAACGACAACTACTGCCCGAATCTCTCTCCTTTCACGTCATATTACTACGGCCACTAGTCCAACGTCTGCAACTTCAACATCTTCAATATCTCTTTCTCAACGCCCCTATTCAATTTCAGTACTAATCGCATTCGTGAGGAACAACAGAAAGATCCGGTTCTCCAAGACAAAATTAAACAGGTTCGACTAAACCCATCAAAGCATGCCTTCGAAATCCGCGACCATGTGCTTTATAAATTATTACCTCTTGGAAAAATTAATCGCAGTTTACCATACCTTCCACAATCACTCATTAAAGACATTTTATTTACACATCATGATCACCCCAAGGGGGTAAAAGCACCACTTCACCACTTCATTTCACTTCACTTCATCTAGGTAAAACGCTGCTGAAACGGTCGAAACAATAAAAAATCACTTCAAGTTCACTTCAAGTTAAGCGGAAGTGGTGAAATGGTACTTTCCCTCCCCCATCAGGGGCGCCGTTTCAGCAGTGAAGTGAAGTGAAGTGAAATGAAGTGGTGAAGTGGTGCTTTTACCCCCTTGTGATCACCCACTGAGCGGACACTTTGGTGTTGAACGAACTTGGAGAAATTTAAAAAATAAATATTATTGGCCAAACATGAAAGAATCAATTGAGCATTACATCAGATCATGTCAGGAATGTTCGAAATTCAACATACAACGCAAAAAACCACCAGGACTACTTCAACCAATTGAACCACCAGATGAAGTATTTCAAGTACTTGGAATTGACTGGTGGGGTCCTGCTCCCGAATCATCAGTTGGTAATAAATATGTGCTCGTAATCACTGATCGCTTATCTGGATATGTCATAGCTAAAGAATCTCGGATCAATACCGCACAAGCAACAGCTGAAATATTGATGGAACATATGATTCTGATACATGGTGCACCTGATATACTCCTTAGTGATCAAGACCAACACTTCAACAATGACCTGATAAAAAATATATCGACATTAATCGGATGTCAACACATCTTTTCAACAGCTTACCACCCACAGACAAACGGACAAACTGAACTGCTTCAACGCCACCCAATTATCCAAATATTGTGACGAAGAGCGCACAAATTGGGATGTTTATTTACCATCTGTTGTATTTGCGTATAATCATGGTCAACATAGCTCCAGCAGATTTATGCCATATCAACTTGCCTTCTGTCGAAAGCCACGTAGCCCTTTTGATAGTCCTCGCACAGCGGTAAAATTTTCCAAACCACATGACTATTGGATTGAATTAAATCGATTTAAACACTGGGCGATAAAACAAGCACGACAGAATATTGAACATCAACAAACCTTGATGAAACGTCGCTATGATAAAAATCGATCGAATCCAAGTTACGCAGTTGATGATCTCGTATGGCTGAAAATATTGGCTGGTCGAACAGAATTAGATGAACGTTATCGTGGCCCTTTTCGAGTTACAGGACAACTGAACCCAGTGACATACACAGTAGAAGATGATTCCTTCGCCTACACCGTCCATGTGAACAATCTACTACCAGTTTATGAACGCTTCTTTTAATTGTGTTTTTCCTCCTCTTTTCTTAGTTGTTGTTTCATTTTTTAGTGATCATTTTGCGATGAGCCGGTGGCTCATCTTGGTGCCTAGGGGGAAGTGTTATGCCAGTCGCACGACTGACACAAACATGCCTATATCTCGTCATGCCATCCTGTGACACAATTGTATATATTACATCACTGTTTATATTACATCATGTTTTTCTGTTACGTTCTTTCTTTCTTTCCTTCTTTCTCGCCTATATATATACACAGGCATATACTGTAGGGAGAGAGGTCTTCACTTTCGGAATAAAACATTTATACATACAAGTGAAGACTCGTACAAGTTAGGTGGAGCCTAACAAGCAGCATTATACGGTAATAGGTCGTGGCTTATCTTTAATGGTTCATAAAGTCACAGTGGTTGAATGAAAATAGCATTTCATTTTCTCTCCAGTTTGCTCAATTTTAACTGCCTAAAAAGAGTTGTGATGGATAAACGGAATCCTATCACTTTAGAAACGTGACGGAAAGTGGAAAACGATTGATGCAGCTGATCTTGTGCCTGGTGATATAATCGGGTATACATTTTCTGGTTTAAGTTCCTCTTTTTCCTTCATTCATCTAGGCTTGCTGTTCTTTTAGTATCAAACTTGGTGATGTTATTCCGGCTGATGGTCGTCTAATCACATCACAGGGTAGCGTCAGTATCGACCAGGCTGCAATAACCGGTGAATCATTACCTGTAACAAAAGAAGTTCAGGATGAAATATTTTCCGGGTCAACATGTAAACAGGGAGAAGCAGAAGCACTTGGTAAGCTTTTGAAAATAGTTCTGTTTCTCGTACTGTTTCATATTTTCATTTTTCCTTAGTGATTGGAACTGGACTAAATACATTTTTCGGACGTGCTGCTAAGCTTGTTGGAGGTGCGCATAATGAAATTGGACATTTACAAACAGTATTAAAGAAAATTGGAAACTTTTGTATTTGTAGCATTGCAATTTTTGTCGTTACTGAAATATTTGTTATGTAGTAAGTACAAGGAAAGACCATACTTGTCGATTCGTTCAGGTCAACATTTTGGGCTTGTATCTCTCCGTTCAGTTTCAGACCGCATATGTTGCATACTTCATTTGGCAAAAATCTGTATTTGAAAATAAACATAACTGCCGAGTGAACATCTTTAAGTCAGATGAAAGTGGTACTTTGAGATATCTAGTCTGTCCAAGTTTTACTATCTAGAAAAACTCTTCCTCAGATTTTGCTAATAGTTACCACTTCATTTTGGGTCCAGTGTACCAAATGTCGGTCCATATGTTGCTTGTTATGTTGAAAGCAATGTCGTACTCTCTAAAAAGCAGGTGCCAGGTGGAACCTTTTAGGCTTCCAGAATTGGACACCATTTTATGAACCGTTTAAAGATTCCATACACAAAACATGGTACTATTACGCACCTTTTTACCTGATGTATTTGTGTATTGGATCTTTAATAGGTTCATAAAATGGTATCCAGTTCTGGAACCCTAAAAGGTTCTACCGAGCACCTATTTTTTTAGAGCGTAAGGATAGTCATAATCCCAGCTTCAAATGAATTTAGGCTCAGATCTTATGATCGTTCGACGAAAAGAAACTTTGTTTTGTAGTCCTGGCTTTCGGTATAATTATCGTCGTGGAATCAGCAATATACTTGTTTTACTCATCGGTGGCATTCCTAGTAAGTGAAGAACACCATTTCTAACAAAAGCATGTTAAATATTCATTAAACTTTTTGTTGTTCCTTTCTAGTTGCCATGTAAGTAATTCAAAGTGATCGATAATGCATCTTCTTATTGTTTCTTTATATCTGCAAGGCCAACTGTGTTGTCGATAACACTTGCTATTGGCGCTAAAGAATTATCAAAACACAAGGCAATTGTAACACATGTGACAGCTATTGAAGAATTGGCCGCCGTGACCATTCTTTGTTCAGATAAAACCGGAACATTGACATTGAATAAATTGGAGATTGATAAACCAACAATAAAACAATATGCGGTAGATATTAGTCCAGATGATGTTATACGTTATGCAGCTTATGCTTGTAGACTCGATAACCAAGATGCAATGTAAGTCTTGGATAGATACCTTTTATTTAACAGAAAATAATTCAGATGGAGTTATGGGACAGACAGTGCGCTCCTTGCAGGTTCGATTTTTAAGAAAAATGAGTAAGCACACCGAAGGTATACATAGAACATTGGTATTCATGTAGCCAACCAAACATTGTGTGTATGCATTTTCATTTCAAGTTGTCTTACAGACTAAAATGAGCATACTTGTAACAACACTAGTAGATAAAAACTGATTGGAAGGAACACGTATGGCATAAGAGTAAAAATGTTTTTCTCAATAAGGTCAATGTTTATTCTATGTTCAGCACTAGAGCATGTTTTCTTTTCTATCTTATAAATTCTTCTACTTCATCTGTCAGATTATGCAGTTTAGAACATAAACCAGTAACACTTTGAATATTAGTTACACAATATATGTTACACTGTAAAAAACAAAAGGATTCTTTTCAGTATTTCTTGGGAAGTCTCTCCACTGTGTCTTCAAAACAGACGTTTGAAAACGTCTCATTGTTGGTGTCTCACAACGTGTCCCTCAAGTGTCTCAATAGCGTCTCTAAGCTGGCGGTGGAACGCCAGTACCAAATTGGTCCTAATAGGCATCGATTGGGACTAGGCATGCAACAATCCCAAACTAGGAATCGCTGATCGGCACCGAACGGTTTGTTACCGAACATGTTCGGTCACCAAACCGTTCGTAACCGAACATATTCGTTCACCGAACGGTTCGCAACCGAACATGTTCGCTGCCGATCAGCGAGCCCTGGCTTGGGA